AACGGGAGCTTGAATTCAGCCGATCCAGGCTCAGTGTGTGTTCTGAGAGGCCCAGACTGCTCGTCCCAGATCCACGTCAGCTCAGCATTGCCTAGCAAACAGAATTAGGCTGTTTACGACTCCCTATGCCTGCACAGCTGAAGAGGTCAGAGACTTGATCTCTCCGCGCCCGCCGCCATGTTGGGACCTCTGCAAGTCCTTTCGAAAGTTCTTTTTTTAATATTTATTTTTTAGAAGTAGTTGGACACAACACCTTTATTTTGTTTATTTATTTTTATGTGGTGCTGATGATCAAACCCAAGGCCTCACATGTGCTAGATGAGCGCTCTACCGCTGAGCCACAATCCCAGCCCCAAGTTTTCCATTCTTTGAATAAAGGAAGATATATCATGAAAACAATTTGGTTGGATTTATTTTAATATTTAACATTTCACATTTCCACCTACTATTTACCTTTTTCACATTAGTTTATTAAGGATATTAACACAATGCCCTAATCCTATCTTCTCTGAAATTTTTCTGTTGACTTTGATAGCAAATGGCTACTGCAGAGGGACTGATACAGCGATCTAAAGGGAAGGAGAGACCCTTTGTTCTTTCACGTTCTTTCTTCGCTGGGTCACAAAAGTATGGTAAGGAATGGCTTGTGTTAGACTGAAAAATACAAATTAACCACCTGACCTTTTTGACTGTTTCTAGCATCTGCTGCCTCTGTGTTCCTTTTCAATAGCTGTTGCTCAGACCTTTGATTGTACAGAGTGATCTACTCTGAAGTATGCATTTTATACTATAAAATAGAGTAAGCCAATTTCAATCAAGTTTAACACTTGTTTCCAACTGAAAAAAATGGCCACTTATTGATAGGAGACTGACTTTACCATATTTAGTTTGTTGACATGGTGATCCTCAATCCTCTTTGATTTATTGAAACCAGGAAATATGCTTCTAACATATTCATCCAATCACCTGTTCTGTTCCACTTAGCAATATGACTTAAAATAGACCTGGCTGTTGCTTGTGGTCAAGGTCATCTATAACTGGATCTGGTTTACTAGCTAATGCAGATCTAATTTAACTTAACCACCCTGGCATAGGAAGGCTATTTTAAGACCCTTTTTCTTGCATAAACAACTGAAAACTTAGGTCCTAATTTCAAAAACCCAACTCTTACTGTATTGCAGACATTATTAGTTCTCCCACTAAACCCCTGAAAACCAACCTCAGTGGTACTCAACCAAAGACCAAGATATTATCATCTCAGGCAGAGATTCACGTATAGAGATGATCACCATAGCACTATTCTCTATTGTTACATAGATTTTTTTGTTTGTTTCAAGAATAGTTATAAAAGTAAGTTGTGTCCATGTGGCAGACTTTCATGAGGCTATTTAAAATGGTAGCTTTAACTGCATGAGAAAATGTTTGTGACATCAAGTTAAAGGAAAAATAGAAAAGAATGCCTAAATATTTCCATATTATCCCAATTTTATAAAATATAAGATAGTAATTTAATCTATAAGATGGTAGATAGTCAGATAAGATACAAGAAAATTTAGTACCTTGGGTGATTGGAGTGATTTTAATTTTCTTCTTTATCCTTATTTTCCAAATTCTCTACAAGTATCACTTTTCATCACTAAAAATGTGTATTTAATGAAAAAATTTATAAACACCAGTTTAAAAAAATAAGAGGAAACATAAATACTAAATTTTCTTTTTTTAAATATTTATTTTTTAATTTTAGGTGAACATATATCTTTATTTTACATTTTATGTGGTGCTAAGGATCGAACCCAGTAACTCAAACATGGTAGGCGAGCATTCTACCACTGAGCCACAATCCCAGCCCCTAAATTTTCTTTGATCTTGTAAATGTTGACCCACTTTCTAGTCTGAGGCAGGAGGATCTCTTGAGCCCGGAGTTCAAGACCAGCCTGGGCAACATAGCAAGACCCCAACTTAATCAACTTTGCCCCAGTATGTAGCAGGGCTTTACAGGAAATATATTTTGTTCAGTCAAATGCTGAAATCAATAGCCAGAAAGAACTTCTGTCTAAACAACCATATGAGCCATGAGAATATTTGTATGTTTATTATGATGAGCTTTTTTGACAAAATTTCAAAATCATTATGTAAATGTATACATATTTTACTTGAAATTAAGGAAAACTTATTAAATACTATTTATAAAGGGCAATCCCTTGAAAATAGTTTTCATTGTTGATCGAAGGAAAATTCAAAATTTGTATGAGAAATAAAATCAAAAATATCTGTTCGAACTATTTTTGGTAGAAGATAGACAAAAATGCTTCAGTAGTAATGTAGATGTAGTAAAATAAGATTTTCTTTCTTTTATGAATCTCTTTAGTAGTATGAAATCTGTCTTCAGAAACTCTTACAACTGTGCAATGATAAAGAACACTGGCTTTGAAGTTGGACTGCCTGTACTCAAATCCTGCCTTTAATCTAATTAATGACTATGTGATATGGGTAGATTAGGAATCCACTGTTTGTCATAGTTCCTTCATTTGTAAAATGGAATTAATAATATTATTTCCCTGATATGGTTTTGGGAATGATTAAGTGGGATGATAATCCATGCAAAGTATAAAGTTGCCGTATTTTTCAATTAATGTTTCTAAAACAACTAGATATATATGGGTTACAACTGTAACCACAACCCTTACAGTTGTAAATAATTTTTACAACTCAATAATAAGACGACAACATATTTTAAAAATTAGGAACGAAACCAGGTACACTCATGCACACCTGTTGTGTCAGCTATTTGGGAGCCTGGGACAGGAGGATCTCTTGAGCTCAGGAGTTCAAGGCCAGCCTGGGCAATATAGTAAGACCCCATTTCAATGACAAAAACAAAACAGTAGAACAAAAGATGTGGGGAATAGATACTTCACAAAAGAAGACATAGAATGATCAGTAAACACATGAAGAAATAATCAGTTATTAGGGACATATAAATTAAAACAAAAGAGGGAGATCAGTAAAGTAGAGGAAATGGACCAGAGAATGGGGTAGGTGAGAGAAAGGAGAAATAGAGAAATACTGGGGAATGATTAGCCAATTATATTTTTTTACTGTGTGCATGTAAGAATATATAACAACATCCCATAATTATGTACAACTATAATGTGCCAATAAAAATGGAAAATGTAAAAAAATAAATTAAATAAAATAGAACAAAAGAAAGATACCACTATATGTTCCTTAGAGTGCCTAGAATTAAAAATACTGGTACTCTCATATATTGCTATGAGAATCTAAAGTGGTACAACCCTTCCTAAAAGGTTTGGAATTATCTTGAAGTGTTTAACATTTGCTGAACATAAGACCCAACAATTTTATCCCCAGGTATTTATCCAGAGATAAATAAAAAACATATCACACAGAGATTTACACAAAGATATTTATGGTATCTTTATTTATAATAGCTCAAATCTGGAAAGAATCTATATATTCATCAATAGATAAATAGATAAATAACTTGTCATATGTTCCATATCATGGAATGCTACCCAGAAAATAAAAAAAAATAGTAAACTACGTTATGCTGAGTAAAAAAATGTTAAAATATAATATGGTTTATATTATGTTTCCATTGTATGAAAATTCCAGAAAAGACTAATCTATAACCATAGAAATCACATGAGTAAGTTGCCTAAAGTGGGCATTTGTTGACTGCTAAGAAACCCATGGGAACTTCACTAATTATGGAAATGTTCTATGCCTTGCTTATGGTGGTGGTTACAAGCATTAAACTCTTCACTTAAAACAGATACATTTATTGTATGTAAATGACATCTCAATAAAATTTATTTTTTAAAATATTCCTCCTATAATCATATTTGAATTATACTTCACGGAAACTAGTGTGCAAAATATGGGGAAAGGGGGATTGGATATCATAAAGATAAAGGAAAGATCAATGGAATAAAAGGAGGTGGGGGGTGAAGGATGAGAAAGGGAAGGAAATAGGAATGAATTTTAACAAAATCACACTATGTGCATGTGTAAATATACCACAGTGCATTCTATCTTTCTTTATATACTATGTATAAAGCACCAATGAAAAATAAACAAACAAGCAAAAGGGAAATCAGTAGAGTAGAGGAAGGA